ATGGGTGTGGCCAATAGTAGGCAAATTTCGGTTACATGACATGTTTTCCCTATTTTTGACTAAGATTTGACCGATATTTTGCAATTTTGATCACTGTTTAACCAATATTTTACCAAATTCCGATCAATATCTTTTTCTTTTGACCCTTATTTGACCCAGATTTGCCTATTATACTATCATTCTAAACATTTACCCGAAATCTGCTTATCTTGAGCGTTATTTATATATTTTTGGCCAATTTTAGTCCTACTGTCATATCCAACAATGCGTGTTATTCTTTGTAAAGTCTTAGTGGAGTCAAAGGGCATGAAAAGGAGGCTGGTTTACACTTGCGGGTGCTATCCCACCACTCGTGTTAAGTACGGCACTATACCGGTTAATGCATCTGGATACATTGTTAAGGGGGAAGACAAATCACCTGTTAATTTGCGCTACCTGGGATATATGTTGTAAACATGTGCCATCATTTCCCCTGATGCACAATGCTAACTGAATGAGGTTGGGTTGGTTAAGAGTTACGAATTATCAGACAACATCATTCCGTGAAGTCACTAAGGTAGGTGTATTCCTATTGACTGAGTGCTGGGATTATGAGTAAAGACTTCTAATGACATCTCAGAATCATTCAGAGAAACGAAAATGTACTCGCTGTCATCTTCGCAATTGTTGCAAACGTCAATACTATTGCAGCATCCTCCTCATCAAACTAGTTTCCTCTTATTTTGTGTGCTTCTCCTAAGTGTAGCAGCTCAGAGTACTGTAGTGTCGTTGGTAGTTTCAAACTGGCTTGTTTGTCATTAAGATGACTAACTTTCTGGTGATAAAACAAAACTCAAATACGCCTTTTAGCACATTCATGAGACTTTCTGAGGGATGGATTATTATACTGGAAGAACGTAACTCTGAGCGCCACTCATTTACAGAATTTCTTCACCTGGTTTAAATCACAGGTCCATACTAATCTCGCATAAGTAAAATACTTACGGAAAAACTTGTCAGGTTTCTGTCAAGAATTTTGTGTTGTGAAGCATCTGAGATAAGATTCGGTCAAAAAACGCTTTGTATTCATACAACGGCCAAATCAAAAATACACATGCCTGGCTCTATGTATTTCCATATTATTATTAATATTAATGCACAAGCTTGGAACATTATGGGCACCAAAAGATGTTCTACACAAAATCCCATAATTTCTACGAGGGTTGGGGAACTGCTCGGACTCCGACACCAAAGCAAGTGGTTGTCTTAAGTGGCCACTCCAGGCCTTTGACTTTATATAAATATAAAACTTGGGCACTGTGTAGAGTATAACTCCATTATAGACTGTGAGGTCAACTACATAGGTCAAACTAGTAGATAAGGAGTAGTGGGATTATCAGAACATAAGAATTTAGCTAAGGTTAGAATGATTGATCCCACGAAGATAAGTAGTTTAGAGAAAAACTCAGCAATTGCATTACATGCATTAACACAACCACACAACAGGGTGGGACAAAGTCAAAATTCTAAAATGTAATATAGGTAGGCGGAGAGAGATTGATTACTGAATTCTGGTTCATCGAGTCTACACCCAACACATGCAATAGAAGTGACTCAACACAAATACCAGAAATATGGAAGATATTATTACCACCAGTTAAATCAGAGGAGGATAATAAATAATCTTAAAATTCTGTTTCAGTTCACATACATTATAACATTCTAACAAGTTACTTATTTCGACTATAAAAACACTCGTTTTATTTCCCATCTGATTGTATTTGATTGATAACACTAATATTATTTCTAAATGTACACTATCTTAAATTGGTTTTTACTCAAATGTCTAATCATGTATATAAAAGAAGTAAAAAGTTGTGTGAATACCTTGATATGATTATGAGCAATAGTTTATTCTCGAAACTTCATCAGTTAATATTACTGTATAACGCTGTGATTTATCAAAACAAAACTTTTGACTTTATGTTTGATCCACAAGGCAGCTTCAGAAGCTGTATTCCCAAGGTTTCCAGTGACTAAAACAGGTCCTTTCAGATACTGTAGCCCGTGTACACCATAGGTTTGGAATCCTTGTTTTCCAGCTCACCTAAGTAGACCTCGATGTCCACCAATCCGATTGTCAGCAGCAGACGTTCGGGCTCGTCATTTAGCCTTTGTTAGCGTTATGCGTGCCGCTTGGAATCAGTGAATGGGACAGGGACTGTAAACGCATGGTCATATGAGAGTATTTGAAGAGGAAGACTGAAGTCTATCCATGCTCGGTCACACCAGGTGTTTTTTGGGGGCTGAACTTTAGTTAAGTAAACAAATATCTTGAAATTTCAGTTTTCTTATTCGCGAGTATTGCTGTCTGCTTTGATCGATGTTGAATTCATAATATGTGAACTGTTGAGAATGATTTGTAGTGTAGTTTCAAAAGACTAGGTAACATATTTTCCTAGTCTGCAAAGTTTGCGCACTTAAAGCTGTACAGAATGTATGATAGTAGTAGTGTCTCAAGGGTACTTTTAAGGTTTATTGCTTGAATAGGTTAGTTGGCGATCAGTACCTTCTAACCGAGATCTTGATCATGAATTGGGCTCTGCAATATTCAACACCTCGAAAGAAATCTGTTTTAAATGTACCATATGGCTGTTTCAAAACCTACTATCTTGTGGTAATAGGATGCAAAATCGTTCTCAGTAACGTGGAAGCATTCACTTTCTGTAATTTCCCAAATCTATTAAAACCTGGTAATTTCATGCTAATATTCTCTTTCCCACACATTTCTCCTCATCCTCGTTCCTTCGAATTCCTGTTTTCTTTACCTTTATGTTCTCCATGGAGTGCACTTCTATGCATAGTTTTATGTTGAAACTCAGACAGTCAGTTATTCTATTCTGTGTTTTATTCACAAAATTCCACCTTTTTCGACAAAAAACTGTAGGATCAGATTACACGCAATTATTCTGACTAACCGTTTGCAACTTACCTAGAGTTAGAATAACTAGAAATGTCGGTTGTTGTTAGAACTCAGTTATCCTGAACAGACACTTGATGTACTGGGCTCTATGAACCACATCTAGTGTGTGAGCACTAACGTTACTACTCAGGCTGGAATATGCGCAGCAGGGTTTGAGCCCAAATACTAACTGAGAACCACATAGCCTTCGGATCAAGTCACTAGTGCCAAAACTATCGCTTCACTTAACTATCTTCAGCTATTTGTCACCAGAACAATGCTGTACTTAGCATCGTACGTATATAAGTGCAGCAGTCCGTTCTCTATACAGAAAATTAGCTGATATGCGTGTGCTTCAGCACGAAATCCGACCTTTTAAGGTGAAAGGTTGAATTCTTAAACCTTTCACACAAGAAAAAAGTCTGCTTTCCACATTAGATAGTCGGTTAAACCTAATCAATCAACTGAGTTCTAAAACCTCTGTACTCGCTTTTACAAAGTAAGGTATAATATGAATAAATACCTGAAGTCTATTAAGGGACATCTACCCACTGATTTTCGTACGACTTCGAATATGTATTGTAATGCATTTTTTAAAATTCCATTTGTAGGTACCTGTTGTCGTACCAAGAGCCTATGCCAGTAGAGCAGCTTGTTTGTCATATATGTGATCTTCAACACGGATATACCATGTACGGTGGCAGAAGACCTTTTGGTGTTTCTATGTTGTTTATTGGTTGGGATAAGCGTTACGGCTATCAGTTGTATCAAACAGATCCATCGGGGAATTTTCTTGGATGGAACGCCACTTGCATAGGATCAAATTCAACTGCAGCTGGCTCCATTTTAGAACAAGACTACAATGCTGACGCTACAGTTGAAGAAGCCACAAAACTGTGCATAAAGGTGTTGTATAAAACAATGACAATGTCTAAACTGACATCAGAAAAGGTAAGGCATGTTTTGTTAGTAGAACTTCTTGCATATTTCATCAGGATATCTAACATGTAATTTCTCTCTCTCTCTCTGTTTCCTAAAGGTTGAAATCGGGGTACTTCAAAGACGCAATGAAAAGACTTATGTACGTCTGATTAATCAAAGTGAAGTTGATACTTTGATCAAGACAGTCGAGGGTGAAGAGACTCAAAAGAAGTGATACTTGTGTACAGTAATTTATACGTTTCATAAAGTTTCTTAAAGTAATTCATCGATGTTTTCTTTCTCGTTGTTAGAGAGAGGGGCAATGGGTTAAAATGCCTATTGTGCATTTTCAGAAAGAATGCGGTGAGATTACGACTCAATATAAGATACAAAGTTCCCATACAATAGATGTGTATGTCAAATTAGTACATATAGTTTTGTTTGCTTATTACTCTGTAACCACTTGGGTATTTTAGATTACAATTTCGTTACCATTATAATTTCTCTTGCTATGCTTTGAGGTTTCTGTAGCGATTGGGTTGATTTCTTAGGGTAGGGGTCGCTAGTCTCATGCCCAATCTTTTTTTCTTTTTCCGTACACATATGACTGACTGGCTGGTAAACTAGATGACGGTTGGTTCGGAACCCTAGCAACGAACCAATCAACAACCTAGTGCCCAATAAATATGCCAAAGGAAATGGAAGTAGTTCGAACACACGCCGAAGAAACCGTCGAGTGACATCACGCACCAGTCCTTCGAGTGGAACCCGAATCGGAGACAACAAGTTAGGCATCGGTCCAAAGGTGACGCGAAAGAGATCGTGTCAGGAGCAGATGATAGCCTCTGGGAAATGGTGAAGCCAGCTAAAGAAGACTGCAGACGAGAGGATAAAGTGGAGATGTGCTGTTGAAGCCATATGTTCCACTCGAAACCCAAGGGAATTATAATATTTTCCCTTACATACACATCATAGCCACTTCTATAGGAGTTGAACGTAGTCAGTTAACGTGTTTCATGAGACTAAGTTGATGTGACGTAACCTAGGTTCGAGTATGTATATATTAAATCAGTGAGTATATTCTTCATACGGTGAGTTCATCAATCGAAACAAACTAAAATAAAAAGGATACGATTTGCTGGAAATTGTAATATATATTCAAGAAATGTTCCAAATAATTATTATGCATAGACAAGGCAGGTGGTTTATTCTTTAAAAGACAAAAAATAATAAAATTCAAGCACACAAAAGTCACATCTAGAAAACACAGTGCACGTAAGGACTCAAAGACACAGTGCTGTATGATAGATAGATAAATAAATAAATAAAAGCTAATTTAATTATATCAAGGAATGCCTGATTGATATCACATACAACAATTAGAGAAAAAAAGGACAAAAAGAAAAAGCTGTAATTCGTCGAATAAGAAGAACTTGAGCAAGCTGATTGATTTTTCCATTAAGTTTTGCTTTGTTGTTGTTGTTGTTATGATAAATCACAGAGGAAATCACCGACTAGTGAAATTAAGTATGGGTTCTCTTCTAACTTCAAGCAAATCTAAAGTTAAAGAGACAAGTAAAGCTTCATGAGTATAAGAACTTAATTAGGTCAATATATTTGATATAATACATACACAGTCATACTGAAGTATTTATCTACTGTATCACTGTGATAATAATTTGATGGAATAAGTTATAAAACAAATCAACGGAGGTTGTATTTTATACAAAGGAAGATTTCCAGTTATTTTCTAGGTAAACAAAATAGTATTCTTTGGTTGATGGTGATTAGGATTTCATCCTCCTTGGGATTCGGTCAGTGAATGCACCTGCATTTTCCACTGAGTGATGGTGTTCCCAATGAGGCTCGAACCCAGCCCCATCGTGACTAAAGCCTTGAGGAGTGAAACGGCGGGTATTGGGGTTCGAACCCCAGTGGGAACACCATCAATTACTGGGGAATGCAGGCACGTCCAGTTGAAGAGTCCAATACAGGACGAAACGCGCATCCATTGGATTCCACTGCTAGTCGCCATCCGCCAGAATTACTTCAAGTTAATCCTCAAGTGATTGAGGCAGGATTCTGAGAGTTTAAAGTAATTTTTTTCCACTGTGGCTGCCTTTAGAAATCAAAGCATTCAATCCGCAACATGAATTATTATGTAAAGAGCAGCACAACATGAAATATTCACGCAGTTTTTATGAGTATAGTTCAGACGAACTAATCTAGTAGTCCTCCTAGGCGAAGAAACTAAAATGCAGAGTCTTCTGAACACCTTGAGCAGAAATCTTCGAATGTCTGGCACGTGATTCGCTCCTGTCAAATGTGAGGTGATGCTACAGGACTGGACTACATCGATTCCTAGCTTAAAGATAGTAAGTAAAGTGGGAGACGGTGTTGATAACTTATTTAGGAAGTTGTATTAGCCCCAAAGGCTGATTTCTAACGAAATTTCAGCAAAGATACAAAAGGCTCGTGTGGCACTCCCCAACTTGTACCATCTCTCGTGTATACATGATGTCCAGTTTATCAATCAAAGGACGCGTGTAGTGCTCACCAGTTCGCTCCGTCCTCCTTTATGACTGTGAGACATGGGTACTGAAAGTGGAAAATTTGAAAAGGTCAGCTGTCTTTGATCATAGGTGTCTGCGTTCTGTCTCCCCTTTCAGGTAGTTTAATAGGGTGAGTAATACTAAGGTTAGGTGTGAAGTGTTAGATTAAGACGGAGAGTCAGTCGATGAGGTTATGAAGCTGCATCGATTGAAATGGCTAGGACACGTGTTACCCATTCCTCACCATCGTCATTCTCGATATGAAAGGTTAACTGATGTAGGATCAGGTTGGAAAAGAAAACATGGGACCAGTCCATGAAATTTTCGACTGTTAGTTTGAGCCACGTAAGGTAGACTGCCTTGTTGGGGTCATCGGGACCCTCAGGATCAATGGCTAGAGACTTTGCTGATATGGCTCAGAGTCGTTGTCAATGGCCCAGATGCAATCACTTCTCTGTGATCTTTTATATCCACTAAACCCTAATGTTTTTCCATGTTACTATTCTTCTACATATTTCTGCTTATCGTAGTTCTTTTAAATTCCTTTCTCCATCTTTTGTCCACCTTTGCACGCTGAACAATCCTTCCTGGTTGTCGGGGATCCTTATTTGATGTTGGTTCGTGGCGAAATCTACATTGAAAATTAATCCAAATCCCAACAAAAAAAGCCCATGATCTAAATATTTAATCAGTTTCCAGTTTTACTTGATTAGACTGCTGTTTCATTCTACCCAAGAGTTAGTTTGTAGAGATTTGGTATACTTGAAGTTTGATCACGAATTGATATCAGTTAAGGAACCATTGAAAAGAATGGTGTACTGGACATATGTTTCATTCTAGTTTGAGACTCATCAGCAGTATGCACCCGCGGTCAAACGTGAAACAAACCAAATCCCTGCAAACTAACACTTGAAAACTAATCTGATGCTTGCTAGTAACTAGCTACAGGATGAAGTTTCCTCGAGTTCTAGTGGGAAGTGGTGGTGACCATTAGGGTTCACCCGGTCAGGAGTGAGGACAAATACTCGCCAGCGATGACAGTGGCTGATGGTCGCACTAAAACCACGAATCGGTAGACGTTAGAATTCATGGGTCATTGAGTTGTGTCCCAGTGGCTGAATGGTATACTACGGGCTTTCCTTGTAACCAGAAGGTCCTGGGTTCGAACCCCAGCGGGTGAGTACTGCCGATGAGTTGCAAACCAGTGCGAAACAGCTGTCCAGTACTCCCTGGTTTTTCAATGCTTCTCTAACTGATATCAATCCGTGGTCAAAGTAGAAACAAAATATTCCCCCCAAAATGCACGGAAAAATTTCAGTCTTTCCGAAAGCAAGAGAATATAACTTTTTTTAATATGACCATTAATAGGCAATATCGATTGTTGAAACGATTTTAGCTATTATTGAATTTCTTCGCCATACCATCTAATCTTCTGCACTTTTCTCATTCAGAGACACCTCAGCCATTCAATGTACCGATTGTTTTAAACCTGTGTTAACTTATGTAAGCGTCTTCTGATCCCTGTGGAGTTGGATATTTTTTAGACGTCAGAAACGTCTCATCATCACAAGAGTCTGCAGCATTGATTGCTTAGAAGAAGAGCTATTACTTCTAAGAAAGGATCCTGGCTGGAGATGGATACTCGGCACAGTTTGCGGAGAAGAACATAAGAAGAGAGGAGAATGCAGTTCAGTGCTAAAGAAAACAGTATAATATGAACTTAGACTTAGTGGCAGGTGTCCTAAAGAGGAGAATATATAGTCCTCTAAGAAAACCTCTCCTGCAACAACACTAAGACTGATATTCTCCGACTGCTTAACCCCCACCCCATCCAATGCCTCTAAGGAATTTGAGGGACAAACTACAGCATATGACCACACCGATGTGCATACATCAATTCACCCTGCATGTACTTACTTTCCAAACATGTTACAGAACATCACTCAGTATGGTTGCAAACGGGGATCATCATTTTAGTATGTAGTCGTCAGTCAAACTGAACAATTTTCAGTGTTTTATTCTACTAATCAATAAAAAAAGTAATGAGAGAAAAAGCGAACAATCAAACAAACAATATGTTGAATAAATATCATATACAGCCGTCTTACCAATAAGAATACTTTGACAAGGTAAAGTGATAAATGTTGGACTAGCATTCAAACCAATCGAGGTAGCTTTTCTTCTTTCTTTAAACCAACACCAAGCTTGTCCAAATGAACTATTGTCTCGATTAATTATTGCTAAAGGATTTTCATAAAAGTGATTTACACCAGAATCTACAGAGATAAAAAGTAGAAAATTTGGAAGGTGTTAAAACAGTTTAAAATTACCAGAGTATTCATAAATAAATGTCTTAGTCATCTTTCAACAGTCAATCGTGTGTACCATTGCGTTTGCAGTTGTGATATAAATACATATATATATATATATATATATATATATATATATATGAATTCTATCAGTCAAGTTTCCAGTGTTGACACTATGCTAGGTGGTTCACCATCATGGTGCACTCTGTGTTTTTGTTGTTAAATGGTTGGAGACAGTTGACAGAAAGCTTTGCGACCTAGGTTCCACGCTTTTTGGCATTCATCAACACGATGTATCTGCAATCTTCAAGGAACTCATTTATCTTCTGAGATTCGAACGTGAGTCACTCAAAGCTGCAGCCAAAGATGTTACCACTAGGCTATTCGGGCTAACTGAGTAAGCAGTGAAACCGGGTAAATAACACTATATTCATAAAGTTGTTTTATGATATTAAACAGGACCATATGACTAGTTTTAGGTTGGGTAAGAGAAAGGATTAAAGTTAAGTCTAGGCTAACCAGATTAAGGAGAAATTAGGGTTTAGGTTAGGCTAGGAATGTGCGTCGGTGGAACAGCGGTAGAATGCCCGTCAACCATGCATGTGGTCTGGGGTTCGACCCCCGGTCGATGCACCCCTTTACCTCGTTAAGCCAGTAGTAAGACTGGTAAAGATGAGAGGTTGGGCATGAGGCTAGCAACCTCATCCCGTACAAAGAAACATTGTTACCGAAACTTCAAAGCTCTATCTTGAAGCCCTATGTTCCACTGGGAACATAAAGGAATAAAAAGAAATTAGGCTAGGAATAGACTAGGAGTGTTAGGTTATGGAAAGACTAGGGTTAAAGAGTGGAATTCGCTTTTTTTAACACAACTGCTCGTGCCAGTTGGGTGTCTACAGTTGAACTTTTACCAAATAAATAAACTTAACAAAACATTCGATTCTAAAAGTTTTGGATTAGCATACCTGTACGAATAATATTCATATTCTTTAATCTCTCTCTGCACGCACCATCATTATCATCATCACCATTAGCATTCGTTACTGGGGAAAAAATCGATTTGGTTGCATCAGTAGCAGTAGTAGTAGCAGTAGTAGAATTGCACTGATTAATGGAATTATTCTTTTTAACAGATTTTGTTCTATGATTACCACCATTATCGCTACCAACACCACGATCACCACCACAAGGAGAAGAAGGAGACTGTTTCGTTGTACTACTTGTAAAGGTATTAAAAATTTCCAACACCTTCGATGGTTTTGATTCATTCAATGAATTTATAGCATTTGTTGATTTAAATTTACACTTCCGACTAAAAATAGGCGATGATTCATGTTGATTACTATTCGATTGAATTGAACATTTATTGCCCAGGCTACGTTTAAACAATCGAACTGGACTTGTATGAACACTTGCACCAGCAGATTTTACAGACCATGGAGATGGATATAATGTTGGCAAAGGATCCATGTAAGTATCTTCACGAGGTGTTATCAGTTCAGTACACTTTGAATTTATTCTTGATATAGAGTCGTAAAAATTGAGAAGACTCGTCGATTTGTGTGAATCCTAAAAACACGAGAAAAGTTTATTTTTGGTATATATCATTCTAATTTAGAAATGTTAAAAATTAAGTAACAAAATTATTAATAAAAATGTAAATACTAATATATATATATAAAACTTGGACACTGGTAGTAAGTAATTCCATATTAGTTTGTTTATTAGATGTATCACACAGTGAAACAGTATTAGTTACTGGATGACGTTTAGAACAAAATTTATTGTTCATAATCACTTCATCAATTATAATCACACGACTTCGAAACTTGAGTTTTATAGTCTTCTTTATTCTTTCCTATTCGTCTTAGGGGTAGTAGAAGTTTTCAGATATCTGGGTGGACAGGTGTTGAATCATTCCTATTACACGTGTTGGTTTGCAGTTGATTCGATTAACAAGGCCTCCGTTATCAATCTCTCCCTCCATCCTGTGACATTGGATTTTAAAACTGTCATTTTATCCCATCCCTCCTATTGTATGGTTGCGTGTAATTGCATGTAGTGCTATAGCCGGCTGAACTATTCTCTAGATTTCTTATCTTATTCGGGTCAACCAATCTAGATTTTGGTAAGTTTTTATGTTCAGCTAGTCTGACTGCCCCTGTTCTACTAGTTTGACCTATGTATTTGACCTGACAATCATTGCAGGCAGGGTATTAGATAAACTAAATTGTTTTGTTTCAAAGTCTCTACAGGATCCTTTAACCGACAAAGCCTGTTTCTAATTGAGTCTGTGGGTTTGAATCTCAGCCACTTTTATTCCTGCCTTGTTAAGAATTCTGCGTAAGGTTTCCGACATTCCTTCTTTGTGTGGAATTACTACTGATGATTTAGATTCTTTATTGTTGGTGTCGTCATTATCTTGCACATGTTTGACACGCATGTCGTCATTAATATTACTATTATTATTATGTTTGCTAGCCAGATCGAAGTGTGACCTAAACACACTGGACAGTCATTTTACCTGTTTCGATTGAGGTCACCATCGGTTTGACTCAGTTCAGAAAGACAAATCAGTTCAAACCACCTGAATATTGGCTAACTCTTGATGAAACATCTTCCTACAACTGATCGGTTATAAGAATGTGGTTTGTCATTACACCTAATCAGACAGATCAAAGCGACTATTCGCATTCTGAATGCCATTTATGTTCTATAGAACTTTACTGTAATGCTTATATATGCTTAATTTATACAGTAGAAAAAAAAATACCGAAATTTATTCGACTAATTTAATATTTTAAAAATATGTACTTGTTTTCTATCGCAAAAGTAAATTATCCACTTAAATAAGCTGGTTGACAGTTTGGTAACTATGATGGTGTTAGAATAATGTTTAACAAATGTGCTGTTCGAAACACTTCATCCTGACTATCTTGAACAGAAAATGCCATCCCATGTTACAGAGTTCAGAGTTGGATGACCAAAGTTTAAAGTATCCATTTTGAAGGGATTTTGTTTGGTTGGTTGGAAGATTTCATCATGAGCTGACATCAGTTAGAGAACCATTGGAAAACCAGCTGGGAGTAGTGGACAGCTGTTTCGTCCTATTGGGAAGCCGTGACCAGTAGGGTGCAGCAGGTTGAAGGTGAGGACAGTTACTCATCGAAGAAGACATTGCGAGGTGGTCGCGCTATTTCGTGAATTGGAAGGAGTTGGAATTCATGGGCTGGCCATTGGATCCGGTCCCAATGGCTTAATGGTCTCCAAGGTCGCCTTGTAACTATAAGCTCCTGCGTTCGAACCCCGATGGGTGCGTACTGATGAAGAATCCCAAACTAGGACAAAACGGTTTTCCAGTACTCCCAGGTTTTCCAATGGTTCTCCAACTGATGTCAGCTCATGAAGAAATCCTCCGACCAAAGTTTAATCTGATGAAGAGCAGGAATCTCTTCTCACAACTGAACAACCAGCTTATCCCGCCTGATGATTACTACTTATAAGTTGCCTGTTAGCTATTCTCTCAAGTGACTTTATATGCCTTATACAACAAATACAAGGAATAGTTAATAACAAAAACAGTTGATGACTAAGTTTCAAGATAAAAATTCACTAGTGCATCAAACAATCAAAGTATCTGCTGATGATTCCCAAACTAGGATGAAACAGCTGTCCAGTACTCCCTGGCTGATTTTCAACGGTTCTCTAACTGATATCGTATAAACAAATCTAATCCTTACAAACCAACTCTTCAAAATTAATCTGATGTCCGCTAGTGACTTGCTAAAGGGCAGGGTTTCCTGGAGTTCTAGTGAGAAGTCGTGACCAGTGAGGTTGATCCAGTCGGGAGTTGAGAATAGATTGCCCATCGATGACATTGGTTGGTGGTTGTGCTAAAATCACGAATTAGTAGAAGTCAGAATTCATGGACGGTCCATTGAATCGGGTCCCAGTTGCTGAATGGCATACAAGCTTACCTTGAAACCGGAAGGTCCTGGATTCGAACCCTGGCGGCGGTGGGTGCGTACTGCCGATGATTCCCAAACTAGGATGAAACAGGTGTCCAGTACTCAAGCGCTGGTTTTCAATGGTTCTCTAACTGATATCAATCCGTAGGGCAAACTCGAAGAACAAAGTATCTGAGTTATTATTTTAATAACTGATTAAAATCACCCATAAAAATACGAAAAGACTGATTATACGTGAACAAGGAATATTCTTTTCTATAACCTCTTTTTCGTGTCACGTTCTACATTTATAAGACAGTAATAATTAAGGGAATACTGTTATTAACAAACATCAGTGTTTTAATATTACGAAAATATTCATTCAGACATCTATAAAACACAAAATAATCGGGCAAAGAATATCCTTTTCGATAATTTCCTCTGCTGGCTCTACAATCATATGCATATGTTTATATACACAGAATATTCTAGAATAGTAGTTAATAACAATATCAGTGTTTTTAAATAATATCGATTTGTAAAGTAAAATCAATAGAATTACAGTTCATTAAAGATGCTTAAATTTCATGATATTAGATAGTTGGAGGCAATCGGCAGAAAGCCTTGGACCTAGGTTTCGTGCTAGTTGGCACTCACCAGTCAACAAGGCGTATCTGCAACCTAGAAGGAACTCATATCCCACGTCACCCAGTGCTGCAAACAGAGACGTTACCACTGAGCTATTCAGACTCGCGATTGACCTCCTGTAGGACTGTAGTGTGTACTTTGATTGGACACTAGTAATTAGATAAAGATATAATAGCAAATAGAATATCAACTAGAATTAGGGAAATTTCCACAAAAATTGAGAATCATTCAAACCTAGATGGCCAAGGTAATGATAATGTCTGAACTAGCTTCTTTTGGACGCAAAAATTAGGCTTCTTAATGTGAATTCCAACAGCCTCAGCAATATTTAGTAATCGAACTCTTACGGCGAAGTTAAGATTTGTTGGTATGTGGTAAATGACTTTGAAAGCCTCTTTAACATCAATCTTGTGTTCTATACCCACAAGATGCGATAGAATAGCGATACGAATAGATTTAGTTTGACCTTTACTTAACCACGCACGGTGGTGTTCGGAAATCTGACGAGAAACACGTCTAATTGTACGGTCTATTTAACTGGCTCCACAGGAGCAGTTAATAGATTGCAGTTCAAAAGTATCAGTAAGATATAATATGCAATAATATGCATAAATATAGTACAGAATTTATGAAATTATGAGTTCCACAGCAGGTCATGGAAGCGATAGTGGTTGGACTTGTTTCTTTTGCACTCATAGATCCTGCTGATTTAAGCGAAGTACACGCAATTCTCTTTATTGTTTGTTTCTCTGTAGTACACAAGAAATTTGGTAAAGATCCACACAGCTATAGAGAGTTAGAGGTATTTGTTTAGAAGCAGATCCAACCCAAGATGAACTTAACGCTTTGTATATGAGAAGTTAATTGGAAATAACTATCCTGAAAAGTGCATTATGAAAAATATGGCCAAGAAAGTAGAGAAGAATTCTTTTGTATTGGTCAACCGGAAGCCTCTACACATATGACTGCAATTCAAAGGTGATTTACTAATCGACGGAAAGACTTTTAGTGGCCGTAAGCTACAACTCTCATTTTCTATACGATCGGGTGTGATTCTGAAACTTGAAAGACGAATTACCTGAGCTAGACACCTCTAACTGCATCTATCAATTCAACTATGCTTTTGGAGCCAGTTAAACTGACCACTGCTGTATGAACATAGCTTTTCATGCCCGGAAATACCTACCAGTCTGGCTTAATACAGGTGTAGTTAAAACCAACAACAATTCTAGGTTAGGTCACCTCGTCCAAACACTCCATAAAGCTAGATAACATTGAAGAGACTTTCCCTATCACTCATTAAGTATCGAATAAATTGCCAAAGACCTCTAGATACCGAACACTCAAAACAGCAAATACCATAGCAATTCACCTAAGTCAACCGGATTTGTGTGTATGGCAAAGAAGCAAGTCCGGCCAATATTGCTGCCTTGGCCTGCTGTCAAAACCTATAAATTCTTAAATTATGCGTTACTTTCCTTAATTTATCTGATATTTGGTCAGTTTAGTGTTATATTAATGCACATTATCACATAAAGATGCTTAAGAGTTTCTATCTATTGTCCTTAATGATACGATATCAGTTGAAAAGCAGTAATGTTGTTAATAAGAATGATTCTTTAATTGGTTGAAGGATTTTATCATGAGCTAAAATCAGTTGGAGAACTATTGGAAAACCAGTAGGGAGCGCTGGACAGCTGTTTCGTCCTCTTTTGGGGCTCTTCAGCACTACGCACCCACCTCAACTGGGTTCGAACCCAGGACATTCTGGTTACAAGGCTGGCGAGCTCGTAGAGCATTAAGCCATTGAGACCCGATGCAATGGCCAGCCCATGACATTATTATGAACGTACAGCTTTAGAACCTGATAAAGTTATCGAAAAGAATATTTTACTTTGCTCACTATAGTCTCAGTCTTTTATTTAATAGTTTAGCTAATAAAATTCTAAGTATCAAGTGCTGATTTATAGCGAT